GAGTGATCATACAGTGATTACAAATGCTGAGATTCACATTCCTGCAGTGTCACAGACATATGAAACAGACGAAACAAACGAAAAAGTTGGGGTACGAGATTCCTCGCCTATTTTGAGCTGTTCAGAAGATCTGGACATTGTAGATGGTGCAAAAAGTAAAGAAAATATAAATAAAACGAAAACCTTTGCAAGCGTCCTCACATCTGTAAAAAAAGACAATGAGTGGGTATCAACTGCAAATGAATATGAAAATAAGGAACCAAAATCAATTTTTACAGGTTCGTTCGCAGAAAACAGCGTACTAAACGAATTGTGTTAGCTAACATAAAAGCACGAGGAACAACGTTCGAGGAGGTCAAAAAAGATATTCGTGAATGGTGTGAAGAAAGAGATGTTAAAGTGTCGGGCATATTTCTTCTAGCACATCACTCAGAAAGAAGATTTCCCACATTTGTAATTCGTGCAAGCATTGATGAAGATGACTACGAAAAAACACAGGACCCAGACTTCTGGCCAAAAACTATTTTTGCCAGAGAATGGATAATTCGCAATGAGAGAAACACTGAACCTGACCCTGAAAACACAGACGATCCATAATGACAGTGACACTTTTCATAATAATCCTCATGATCCTGTCTTGCTGGAATGTTCATGGCGTTTTCACCTGCCTATCAGAGCTATCTGATTTAACAAAATTTGCAGATATCGTTTTTATATCGGAACATTGGCTACCGAAAATCTGTTTATCATGTTTACATACATCAATGCCAGATAATATTACAAGCATAGCAACATCGGGAACTACCAAAATTAACATCACTAGAGGAGGAACTGCATTTTTGATTCGAAATAACAGTGACTTTTCTGTAAAGGATGTTCAGACAACGAATGAAAGAATAATGGGAATTGAAATTACCTACGGATCGAATCAATTATATATTATAGGATGTCTCCTTCCCTCAACAAACCATCATTATGAGGAATATAAACGTGTGATGCAGGATGTATTCGACTTGTTTGATGAACTTAGTGAAACTGGCCCTGTAATTTTATGTGGTGATTTTAATACAGATATTAAAAATAAAACTGGCAGTCCAAAATCAAAGCTGCTCACGGAAAATACGCTAGACAGAAACCTTTGCAGTATATTTTCGACTGGTAACCAAATTGAACATACATTTCAAACAAAGGATAAGAAAATTAAGTCACTTTTAGATTACATTTTTGTTCCTGAATGTCTTTCTCAAGAAGTAAAATATAAAGAAGTATAACAAGACTTTGCCTATAAAGTTTCTGACCATTTTCCCTTGCTTTGTGAAATTAACATAGCTAGTGTTTTCGATCAGTTACCTCCCGACTATTCAAGAATCGTTCCAAAATGGAAATTGGCTGACAACACCAAACTAGAAGCGTTCAAAAATTCGTTTTCTAATCTTTTTAACCAAACAAATACAAGTTCCCTACATAAGGATAATATCGATACTCTCCTTGTCCATATTACTGCTTCATTGTTAGCATCCTCCGACCAACATATACCACATGGAAAATTTAACCCGCATTTAAAACCATACTGGAAAAAATCCGAGCTAAACAACGCCCATAATGAAATGAGATGTTCTAGAAGGACTTGGAAATCTATGGGATCTCCTAGAGATAAACAAAATGAATATTATGAAAACTATAAAAAGTCAAAACGTAAATTCAGAAAACTACACAGACTTGCACAAAAAGATTGGCACAATTCAATATTTGACGAAATTGACAAAGCTGCTGAAATTGACATAGGAACCTTCTATAGGACAGCATGGAAAAATAAAAAACGATCAGGTTCATCTTTTCCATCCAAACTTAGTTATAAAGGAAAAACCGCTGAGAACATTAATGACATGTGTAATTTATGGCAAGAATATTATTCTGACCTCGCTAATGAAGAGTACCACCCAGATAAATTTGATGAAAATTTTAAACACTTTATAGATGAAGCTGTGCAGAACATCGACAATGATCTACAGAACAACGAGAACTTATTCACGGACGGAGTCGTAATATCCATCGAAGAAGTCAAATACCAATTTGATCAGCTTACCAAAGGGAAAGCTCCTGGACCAGATTTTCTCACCAACGAACACCTCATATTCAGTGGTCATTTTATAGCAGAACTGTGCTTACTTTTTAAAGCTATAATTAGAGAAAAATACGTCCCTGAAATTTTTAAAGTAGGAAAAATTATATCTATCTAAAAAGGTAAAAACAAAGATAAAGGTATTCCTACCAATTACAGAGGTATTACATTGACATCTGTAGTAAGTAAATTATTCGAAAAAATACTTTTGTCAAAAATTGAGGATGATTTAGTTAGAAGTGGCAAATCATTTCCACATGATTTACAGTTTGGGTTTAGAAATGATTACGGAGCAATTCCAGCTTGTTATGTTCTAAAAGAAGCTATTAGTTACTATGTAAATAGAGATTCTCCAGTTTTCTGTGCATTTTTAGACAATGAAAAAGCCTTTGACAGAATCTGGCACAATGGTTTGTTATTTAAGTTGTATAATCTTGGATTAGATCCCAGATTTTGGCAAATTTTAAAATACTGGTATAATGACAGCAAGTGTTTTGTTTCGTTTTGTGGTGTAAACTCCAATTTGTTTAAAATCTCACAAGGTGTAGGACAAGGAAGAGTACTTAGTGCTTTTATGTTTCTTGTGTATATTAATGATTTATTATATGAGCTATGCAAAAATGGCAAAGGCCTTTTACTGGGTGATTTACACATTCCAGGTATTCTATTAGCAGATGACACTGCTTTAATGAGCAATTCACCAACATCATTACAGTGTCTACATAACCTTGTAGAAAACTATGCATTTACCTGGAGACTCCATTATAATCTAAGTAAAAGTGTTTTTATTGTATTTAGAAAAACCAAAAAATGTTACATATCTTGTGGCGCTACGCTTTTTGGCAGTGAAATACCTCCGTCTGAAAGTACAGTGTATGCTGGTTGTCTTCTCCAGGCAAATATGAAAAGTGACAAACTTACAGAACGAGTGTGTAAAACTGCGAGATCAAAAATCCACTCTTTATATTCTGTTGGTGTTAATAACTCTGACATTCATCCCGTTGTATCCGCAAAAATATGGAAACGGGTCGTGCTACCGTCTGCCCTCTACTCTTGCGAGATATGGCCGTTATTACCATTAACAGACATGCAACAACTTGAATATGTTCAAAGACACTTCGCCAGGATTATTCAAGGATTCTCAAAGTTTTCTCCATCGCTTTCAAGCATATCGAATATTGGACTGTGGACCATACAGGGCTACATTGATAAATGTTGCCTACTTTTCCTTGGTAGACTCCATAGGTCAGAACAAAACTCTGTACATTATCAGATCTATGTTTATTTCTGATATTCATGTATCTGAAAAATTTTTTGCAACCAAAAACATGTTACAAACAGCTAGCAAATACAATCTCTTAGATATGTTTGAAAACAATTGTAGCATTATATACAGTAAAAAAGAATTTTCAAGAATGATTATCAAAACAATATGGACAGCAGAGGAAAACCAATGGCGTGCTGCTCTGTCTGTAAATCCTGATTTATCTTTTTTCAGTAAAATACATACTATGTTGAACCCAAATAAATTGTGGCAGATTGCTAGAAAAGAACCCTCAAAAAGATTATTAATCAACTTTTTTATTCAGGTTTCATCGATGAAAATTAATTGTAAATTTTGTCAATTTTGTAATAAGGTAACAAGTAACTATAATATGCACTTGATGTTAAGTTGCTTTACATTATTAAACGACAGAGAAAATATGTTTGAGGACATTTTAGATATACTTGATGTAAATGAGTATGTTTTGTTTGAGGATCAAGATCCTGAACTACAGTTTTTATCTTTAATGGGGTGTGTTCAAGGCACATGCTTTGAAAACATATCATTCACAAAATGAAAATGCATAATGATAATAGTTGCCTCAACAGTTTATAAAAACAAAAGTATGTTTGCCATAGACTGTCGAACCCTGTAATGTCCTAGCAGAAAGTTGTACATATATATATATATGTTTTCTTTTTTGCAATTTTTGTTGTTTATTAGTTAATTATCTGTTCATACAAACTCTCCATTAATTTGGAGTAAATAAAGAATATCTTATCTTATCTTATCTTATATAGGAAAATGTCGATTTTAGCAATTTATACCAAATTATACAAATACTACAATAGCCTTTTTATCCAATCTATAATATTTTATGAGTAATATTATATTGTGCATTATATGCAAGGAACACAAAATTCTACCCTTTTCTTACCAGAGGGGGCATCTCAAAATATTAAAACTTAGCATTTTTTTCTGTTTTTTTTTTTTTATAGAAAAATTATTATTATATTTTTTATATAAAACATAATAAATATAATAATAATAATGGAGATTTTTCGAATTTCTACGTTTTAAATTTCAATAGCGTATGTTTATTACTTGTTCTTAATTTTTATTTCCCCTGTCTTGAAGAACTTTACTTTATCATAACGTCAAAAGACACACTGTAATGACGTCAACCCATCTATAAATTGCAAAATCGGTTACAAAAACAGTTATATAAAAATTTTAATTACAATTTGAATCCTCTTATTCCTTAATTTTGTTTAACTTCATTAATTAAGCTAGAAAAGTTGCTTTCAAACAGTAAATATGCTACATTTTACTATGATGCGCGAAATATTGCGCAATGAAAACAACAGTCGACCCCCTTAAGAACTCTCTCTCTCTCTCAATAAATTATATTAATTATTAGTAGATCCTCGAATTTATTCAAAGGCCATAATCAGATTAACTGTAATACTTTTAAAAAAAATTACAGCCTTGGTTGTTTCCAAAGAAAAAAATGAAGAAACCTCAGATTATTTTAACTATACACACATGGTCAAGCAAAAAAAAAATCATGTTCATTCTACTACATATTTTAGTGCCTATTACACTTTTCCTTACCCTTTTGATATAGCCCCACAATTTTGCTGTAGCAGAATTCTACAAGAGTTGATAAGTCTTCGTTAGGGACACAGGTATACTGATTACGTCCATACTGGTCAGTTCCACAGTGCAGTCTGATAGCAGCTGTGATAAACTCTGTCTGACTGGTAGGACAGGAGTCCACAACGTAACCAAACCCTCGGTAAGCCATTTCTGGAATTAAATCGATTCATTTGATTTTTTTAAAATTTGTTCTTAGATTCTTCAAGAAGATTTCCCTTATGTAATAATTGTTTATAAATAAGTAAACATACCCCACTTCCATCTTAATAACACTTTTTATTATAAATACATAAACAAAGATGTTTTCATTATAATATGATTATAAAATATTCTGTTTTAAGATTTTTGAGTTTTGTTTATGTACATCTTGATCATTAATGGTAATTGAATGAAACATATGGTGATAACGAACAGTGTTCAAGATAAAAAGTCAAAAACAATACAAAATAAGAGCACAGCAAACACGGTCCTCCAAAACATCTGAGGTGCTATCAGATGTCATGGAGGAATGAGCTTCCCCTGCCGACCGGTCACACTCGCCGTGTGCTCCTTGACATGATCGGAAATATCGGAAAAATCCGTTGTCAATTCAGTGTATAAATAATGGACAAACAATTGATATGAAAATTAAACGTCAGTCAGCATTTGACTTGATGATAAATTGTTTTGCTGACAAGGTCATTGTATCGACCGTACAACTTGCAAAATATTCCCCTTTTATCAACTTGTTTGTCAATAATTAATTTTCTTCTATGCCGAGCATGCTCTTGCGTATCGAATCAAATGAGATATATAAAATCCGTATGCAGGCGATGAAGGTATGTTGCTGCATAAGTAAGGAAAACTGTCGATAGTAAAGTTAAAGTCTGATCACGTTTTTCATAGAGTTCGGTTGTAAGATAGATTGTCAATAACGTCCTTTTCAAGTAAAATATCCAAATAGGAGACAGATGTGTCAGACTCTTTGGTATCCTTCATCTCAAGCTCACTAGGATATATGGTATCATTGTTTATTGTCAGTATGTCGTCGATTTATCAAGATATCAAGACCACAGCACGTTTTGCTTCATATGAATACAAAAACAGGTCTGCTAATAACGCGGCTCAATAATATGCAGTTTCTAAGATCAAAATCAACTTTCTTTTTCTATATCATAAATATATTATACAGGGTGTTTCAGAATATATTTCACACATCTATATGGGCATGAACTGAATATTGAGCATTATACCAAAAATACCAAATCCGTGAAATCACTGTAAGTAAGCATATTGATTTAAAATTATAATATTGCAATGTATTGGAGAAATTATAATATACCATGAAATAAGTGAGGATATAATCAGTGATGGCATAATTTCAGCTCTTCTCAAAATGGAGTACAACCTGCAGCAAAAACTTTAATTACAAGGGCGATTTCCTAAATACTTTAAACAGGGTGTGGTGATGAAAAATATCCAGACCAGATATTGCTGTCTAGTTCTCGTATATTAAGAAAACATGTAATTAGAGAGTTTGAATTAAATTATAATGTAAAGTTGAAAGGCAGTTAAGCCCCCCCCCAATAAAAGAGAAGAAATAAAAAAAAAAATGAGAACAAATTCAAGTGAAGTCAATCAATGAGAAAACGTCATGAAACTTAGATCTGATTTTATAGAAATGAATTGTAACAATGCTGGTAAGTGTATCAAGTGTATTTAAAATCATAGAGTTAGGTACGTCTGCATACAAGATTATAGCAATTAAAGCCAATTGACGTTCAGAGCCTGTTAAAGTTTGCAAGATTGACTAAAAGGAAGAGCGAAAGAAGTGGACATCAATTAACACTTACCAGTAGTTCTGAAACGACACATTTATTTAAAAGCAACTTTAAAATTAAAATTAAAAGATATTCACTTTTAGGGTTCTAAAAAGTCAGATATAAAATAAGTAAAGTCTCAAGTATCCTGTGAAACTTATAAACTGTGGTCAGAAATTTCTAAGCATTAGTCTCTTAAGTTATTTAGGACAATGTTGGGAAAACACTTGGAGAATAAGATTCTAGGATTTGTTGCCATAGTAACTAAAATGGAGAATGTTGGATAGTTCTGTCTTAAAAATAATATTTTGCTGAATTAAATGAGATATAAAATGTATATTTAGCTTTTGTTTGAATTTATCTGTCTTTAGATGTGTGCATGACATATATTGTGAAACACCCTGTACTATAGAAACGTGTAGAGACAATCTTTTTTCAGGCTTCACATATGTACATGCATGCCTCATTATATTTGCTGAAAAAATTCTGATAAAATTTGTTCTGTTAGAACTTAAGACCTCCTCCATGTTTTAATTGCAAAATCAATGTGTAATGCACAAATTTCATGGCAATAAAGAAACATAAATTATTAAACATAGAATTATTTTAAAACGAAAGTTGATCACAAATTAGTTTACCTACTACTCTAGTACATTTCTTATTGTTGGCATTTCCTTTCTGAAAACATCACTGTTATTATCCTTTGTCAACATTAAAAGTATATTTTCAACTCTAGTTAATATAAGACGTATCGAAGGAACGTGATCCATGGAATCATTTGTGACCTTCGCATTTACAGATATGTTTATAAAAATAGGCAATACTAAAAAAGGTATTGGGTCATTGATCTATTTTTATAACTGAACTGCTATTGATATTGCACATGCTGCATAATGAGGAAATTTGAAAGCACAACTAAATATTTAGTTGTGCTTTCAAATTTCCTCATTATGCAGCATGTGCAATATCAATAGCAGTTCAGCTTCATACAATAAATAGATAACATAATGTAGGTCAATATTTTACAATTTATTTTCAGGTGATTATACTACCCCTCCGTTCCGTTACTAAAGACAGAAGTTTAAATGACATTCCGGTTTGAATGAATTGAATGCACTCGAGCGCTAATTGGAAAAACAAGGGATTCAAGAAACATAATAGAAAAAATATAAATATTTTTTTTTCAGAATGTTAATAATACAATTTTTTATGCCATATAAACTCTACATAGTACAAAATAAATACGAGGGTTGTATGTAAAGTTCGTGGACAACATGATAATTACTGACAAACATTGATGAAATACGACATGAAAATATTTTTATTAAATTATACATGTTTCATTTTATTAATATGCAAGTTTTTTTTTTTTACAAAAACAAAGTACTAAAAAGTTTTATTTTTATTAAATACAAAAAAGCGCACCGTCATCCTAGATAGCATGAGGGCATTGGCTCAACGTTGGCTAAACAATGTTGGTTGTGTTTTGCCACTATGTCCACTACTAAATATCGCGAGTCAAGTTCTAATTGTAGAGTTTTGGAAGGTCATATTTGAATCATTTTTCACTTTTTCTGTTGTATCATGATCATTGAAACAAATTCAATATTACAACAATTATAGAGGATTATCTGAGTTGTGTTTTATAATGTTTTGATTTTTTTTGTCAATATTTATTTTTATCGGATAACAAATTTATCAGAAAAAGACTTCTATGGCATTGTACCACAAACACTAAAAAAATAAATCAATGTTGAAAAACAATTTATTAAATCATTTTTTAATTAATTCATTTAAATAAATCATACTTAACATTCTCCATTCTCTTTTCATAGCTATTGCCATAACTTGTGCTTTAAAATACAAATATTATTTTATGTTCTTTTTAAATATTTAATTGATACAAAGTAGAACTTTATTAATTAGTCTTATATCTAAAACAAATATTCATGATATTTATTTGATTAATGAACCATTACACCACAGGTAAATATTACAGGTAATAAGCCTAAAACAGACTATACAGGTGTGAAAATCCCAATTTTGGCTAGATGGGAATAAGAAATTCAGAATTTTGGCTAAGTGGGAATAAACCGAATAAAATCCTACATTTAGTTTATTAGCATGTAAAAAATCATGTCCATTTACTAAAATCTTGAAAATTTACAACGATTTTTACTATGAGGTCATGGGATTCACGGAGCAATCACATGACGTAAGGCGACGTGACAACCTGTTTTAAACCCGTAAAGCTTTGTTTCAGTTCCTTAAATCTTTCAATTTTTCAGGTTTTTCTGATCTTTTTTCTACTTTATAATTGAATACCTATATCAAGACATGTTATTTTTCTACTATGATGTCTTGTGTATTGATTCGGATTGTAATAATTCGGATATTATTGAGATCTTTAATTATAAAAAGTCTATGCAGTTAATCGATCAGGTATGGAAACTATGCAAAACCATACAGGCAACGTCCATGCAATAAGGGGGTAGTGAAGTATCGATGGAGTTAATCATTCAAAATGTTAATCCTTCCATTCTTATAAAGCTACAACCATTTGAAAACGTTTGTCCTTTCTATGTGTAGGAAATTCCCGGTAGCATCTTGAACATCTTAATATATTTTTAGTCTGCACTGTGGCAACGCACTTTGAAAAAAATTTTCAAAGTGTGTTAAATTTGGGACCAGCTCAACACACTTTGAAAAATTTTTTCAAAGTGCGTTAAGAGTCTACATCAATATATTTTACCATGGAGACACTTAAAGCACTTTGAAAAAAATCATATTTTAGTCATGGAAAGATTTTGTTTGTTATTTATCTTTCAAAAAACAACGCCTAACCCTAACCTCAAAAATGAATTGATTTATTCCCGTCGAAAAGAGGAGAAGACGGGTATAAGATCCCTCAGTCCAAATCTTTATCTTTCCAATACATAGGTGTCAGTAACAAACGGGAGAGGGGAGCAATAAACCTAGAAAGGGTAAGCTGCATTTTCAATGCTTATACGATGTATATCTTTCTAAAATAAGTGGGGGGCTTAGCCCCCCATCCCCTCCCCTGGCCCTTCGCCCAGTCTCGATGTCTATTCTATACTCAAAGCATTCATATAATTATGTATTTACCTAACTGGTATGACGTGGAAAACTTTCAATAATAATAGTGAGTTAATTAAAACAGATGTAAACTAGAAATTTTTAAGTACAGTAAAACGTATGAGAGAGAAAGAATTTTCATAGTTTTGAACAATCAAATTGACCCCTTTTTATGCCCCCGTAAACGAAGTTTCGGGG